AATCCTTCAAAACAACAAACAACGTTTGCTGAGGTATTTCTAGGCTTAGTTAAAGGGAAGCTCAGAGTCAGAGAGGATTTTCAGTGTTAATGCAATCGAAGCACCCCCAATCCTGGGCCCCTCACGACAAGAAGGACACTGAGGGGCTAGAGTGTACCCAGAGAAGGGAACGGAGCTGGGGAAGGGTCTGGAGCACAAGTCCTGTGAGGAGTAGCTGGGGGTGTTCAGCCCAGAGAAGGCTGAGGGGAGACCTTATGGCTCTCTACAGCTCCCTGAACGGAGGGTGCAGAGAGGTGGGGTTGGTCTCTTCTCCCAAGTGACAGGACAAGAGGAAACAACCTCAAGTTGCACCAGGGGAGGTTCAGATTGAATATTAGGAAAAATTTCTTCACCAGAAGACCTGTCAGGCATTGGGTGGAGGTGCCCAGGGAAGTGATTGAGCCATCATCCCTGGAGGGATTTAAAAATGTGGATGTGACACGTAGGGCCATGGTTTAGTGGTGGACTTGGCAGTGCCAGGTTAATGGTTGGACTTGATGGTCTTAAAGGTCTTTTTCAGCCCAAATGGTTCTGTGGAAGCAAAAAGCAGAAGCTGAAGGGAGGCAGTTTCAGTGCCACATGACCTTCTCTAGCAGGTTCTAACAGGCTTGGGCTAGAAAGCTCCCAGCTGCAGTGCACTTCGATGGGGTAGAGGGAGGATTATAGCAAGCAGGGAACAAACAGCAGCATGCGGAGCATTCCACAGCGATTCCCATGAATCCGACAATTAAGCATTATTTACACTTCCTTATGGGAACTTTTTACTGCCTAGAGGTCCACCACCTAAACACAAACAATAAAAACCAACCCAAACTTGCAGTTTCTGAAAGGAAGCCAGCCCCGAGTTTCAGATCCAGATTATGCCCTGCTCTGCTCTCAGAGACGTGCCGTTCAGAGCGCCCGAGCAGAGGACTGGCCTCAGACCAGCTCTGAACACAGGCACCAGACAAACACATGTCAGCTGCGGGACAGTTAGATGAGGGAAAAGTGAACTGGAGGCTCAGAATTCCAGAACAGAACTTCTTAAAAACCAGCATTTTGGGTGACTTTCTAGCAACCCACTGCTGCTGGCACCTCTGCTGGCTTAGCAAAGAGAGGCGCCTGTAACAGCGCTAGGGCTAGCAAAGCTTCATTATCAGAGGGCAGCTCTCGCGCCGAGAGCATTCCCAGGCATCCGTGAGCGTTTGCTCGGTGGGTTATCTGGTGGCATGTTGGCAGCACTGCGCTGCCTTCCCTCGAGACCCGGTGCAGCAGGAAGCTGCACTGAGGCAGGTGTGTTCCACAGCTCAAAGAGGCTACAGAACCGAAAGTGGTGCAGAGCCATCAGATACCCACACTGCCTCCCTGGCAGTAGGACGTGCTGTTGGTTCAGGCTGAGCTTTAGACAGGGTTTCTTGTCTTCTGAACACGAGCGTATTGCATGTTCAGTCAAGAAGGCAGGAAAAAGCAAGAGCACTAAACCAGCTTTGCTCTTCCAGTTTTTGCATTGCCAGAGTAAACCAAAACATGAAACAGTGGCTGCATTCATTTACTGTTAAGAAGCACCCAACAGCCTCTCCTGCAATTGATGCTAACACATACACGGTTCCAATTAGTGTTTTCTTCCAACACCAAGTAGATCCTAGTGTCTTCTAGGACTGCTGTTACACAGTACTGCAGGCTGCCAACTCTAAGTAGCAGCCAGCACGCTTTTGCACCCAGCCTGCCTTGATAAGCAATATCCCAGCAAAAGATTTTTACACAGGACTTCGTGATATTTCGATGTCCAGTTTCAAATAACAATTAATTTTGTTGCTACATGGTAAGAAATGCTCGAGCACCTCCTACAATCCAAATCCCTTTAGGTGCATCAAGCTGGCGATTCAAAACCAGCCAGCTCATTCCCAGCTTCTGCAGGCTGAGCCTCTGGTATGGGAATAAACCAGAGAAACAACACACGACTTCGTGCCCTTCAAGAAAGGGCTATTGAGAGGGCTACAGAACCTACTTGCCTTAGAGCTTCCTGTGAGGAAGGGTGCTCCTAGGGATAACTGGCATGACTTGCCCACTGCTACTTAAAACCACGTGAGATGCCTCAGCTGTACTAAGAACAGCTGAACAGACCCAGCATCGTAGCGTTTGATGTAAAGTTCTATTTTCCTGCCGTACCATTCCTTTAGTAAACGCTGAATCTCTAAACAGTCATACACCCTTTCAGTTAGCTTCCTCTGAAAGGAGGAATTCTACGTTAGAAAATCCCACTTTCAGCTCCCAGAGGAATACTGCTTTGTAACATCTCCCGCAGTCCTCCAACAGAACATTCCACCAAAACCGTGTGACTTGTCACACGCTGCAGGACCAACAAACAGGCCAGGCCTTTATTGTCAGTTTAGTTTTATAAACTCCCCGCCAGCTTGCCTTGGTGCAGGATGATGAAGGTGCCCAGTGCAACTACAGAGCCGAATAAAGCAGCTACAGCCATGATTTTGTACTTGAAGAATTTGCATCAGGCAGAGTACCTGGAACTAAACTCATTGTATTCATTTCTATAGCATGTTGCTGCCATGGCAACCAAAGCGCAAGAAAACACATCGGATCTTGCTATCACTGACTCACAATAGTACACAGGCTTCTCCATCACCCATCACCGAAGGCAGAAGTCAGAATTCCTTGTGTTCCTTAATGCCAAGTACTGGGGATTAGCCAATACCTGGAGCAACCTAGATGCACTTAGCATAGCTTAAATTCCCCACTGTCTGAGAATTCGTAAGTACCTCTTGGTTTGCTTACGCATCAGGCTTGCAGATTTCTTCCTTCCCTTGGCGCCGTTAATGTCAGCAGAGCCACTTCTCCACTACTGGTGGTTATAACCCCCCTGGACACCCTCCAGAGCGACCGAAGGCACAGGATGTGAAGTGACATTCTGCCCTCCAGAGCCTGAGGAAAGCTTTGTCCTCCCAGCAGACAATCACAGAATCACAGGATGGTTTGGGCTGGAAGGGACCTTAAAGACCATCCAGTTCCAACCCCCCTGCCATGGGCAGGGACCCTTCCACGAGACCAGGTTGCTCCAAGCCTCATCCGATGATTTGATTCATAGTTTCTAAGCACCCTCTGGTACTAAGCATTCCCAGTGCCAGCAGCGTTTTGGATTACGCCACTGCAAGCACGTGAAGGAACACCACCTCAGTTCCTTGCTTGGGGCAGTGCCGCGCGGTCCTACTCGAAGCCTGCCCTGCGCGTGGGTACCTGGTAGCGATGTCGTCATTTTCACCACCGCTGCCCCAGTAGGTGTTTGGAAACCCATTCATCTTCATGTAATGTTCTGGAGTCAGAGCAGATACGCCCCCAAAAAAGGACTTATGTGGCAGGCTAAAAGAAAGAAAAAACCCAACCATCAGTACTGAAAGCTAATGACAGTCCTTCACAAACTAACAACGTGATCCAAGTCACACGTGTATCCCCCCCCCAGTAGACCAAAGTAAAGCTGGTTTTGAAATTCACATCTTTGGTCAGTTCAAAATACCTGCATCCTATCACGCACCTTCTATGTGATCCAGTAATTCCCACCCTATACTTTTATTCTTGGAAGGAAAGGCAAACAGAAATCCGCCAGTCACTTGCCAAGCTGAGCTAACAGCAGAACAGGGACGTGCAGGCAAGGAGTTGTTCAAGATTGCGTGCTTAGGTCAAAAATACCCCTTTCGGTGAAATTGCTACTGCAAAACTAACAGAAAACCCTGAAGGTTGGTTCTTTCACCGTCCCCATTCACACTTTCTGTGCGGAAAGCAAACTGGTTAGAATGCATACATCCGAAGCCAAGGAGGCACTTACGTGTACTGAAACTTATCCATGGCACTGGCCATGTGCTTGGGATAGTATTCATCGCAGATGTAGAGATTATAGTCGTTCTCGGGTACCAGGTTGACGTCGTGCAGGAGAAGGCAGTCCCAGTCTTCATCCTTCAGGGCTTCCCGGACGCCAACGTTGAGCAGCTTTGCTCGGTTAAACGTCCCGTTCCCCACCTGGAAAAGAAAACTTCCATTTCTTTACAACGAAGGTGGCAACTCAAAATTATCTTGGTAAAAAAAGCCTCATTCCATTGTACGGATGAACCGATACTGGCCGCAAATTCCAAACCCATCAAGGGCAGACTGATGGGCTTGCGGAGTGGTGTGATATGGAACTGGATGGTCTTTAAGGTCCCTTCCAACCCAAACCATTCCATGATTCTATGATATTTCCGTCGCTAGCAGCCGCGGAGACGACACAGCTTGTAACTCACCTCCCAGCCCACGTAAGGAGGTTCCCGTTTCTCCTTCAGAACCGGGCCCTTAACCGGGAAGTGCAGCTGCCCCACCGGGCGCACCCGATTTGGGTTTACCTGCTGAATCAGGTAGATGCTGTAGCTGAGCTGCTGGCGCTGCAAGAAGGGATGGATGTAGTAGAGGAGGTGGCGCAGGTACTTCTCCTGGTTCCTGTAGGCTATGAGGATGGCTGATTTGTAGCGGGCCAAGCAGTGGGGTGGCCTGTAGTGGCCGCCAGACTGGACAAAAGGATTCTTTTGGATGATCATCCTTTCAGTAGGGAGCACCCTGAAGGTGATGGTTAATGGACCAACTGTAAGGGCAGACAGAAAAAAGAAAAAAAAAAAAA